GCACTGCAGGGCCGATCGTTGACTCGCACGAGAGATGTAGCCACCATCACCGAACGCAAGAGCTTCCCAAGCCAGTGTGCTGCCGAAACCTTGACCTTGCAGCTGTTCTCCAAACAGATGTAGGCACACGTCCCAGCGCCCCGCTTATGCAGCGCCAGTGTGTATGACATCTCTCGGGTGACAGTGCATTAAACCCCGGACTGGCCATGTCTTTTAGATCGTTATAATGGGATCGTCGAGCATCCCTATTTGAGAGCCAGTTTCTGCGATAGTGGTTGTTTTCGAATATCTAGTCGATACTTCCTATACCGCATACGAGCTGTTACTCGTGTCGGCAGGGAATGAGGCTTTGTCACCGATATCGAGCAGAACCGTGGCTTCTGTAGGTATCAGTGTTGAGTTGTGGTGTTATTGTTTCTTTGTAGGCCTTTTTGTATGAGATCCCGTGGCAGCCCGTTTGATACGGACGCACGGATCACGTTGGGATCGTGGGCAAGTTGTCAACGTGACCCGGGCACGAGACTGAACTTGGCACCGCGTAGAAATCCAGATAGTTATGCGTTTAGGACATGCTGTCGAGACCCTGAGAGACTGATTTTGAGTCTTGTGTACTCGATGGGTGTGTCGTGTGGAATTTCTTACCATAAGAAAGTGCGCTTATAGCTATGGCTATGAGTGACGATCTTGATGGTACCGTACGAGGTTCTGAGTACGGAAAGAGGCGTTGTACGCCTCGAGTTCTGGGGAGAGAGGAAGTATCAGCCACATTTGTTGGTCCTTTCGTGATTCTCGACCGATTCGGCGTCTTAGCCTGACGGTTGACCCCATCACCGGAGCTTGCAAGAGTGCACGACCTATTCAGTGCCTCGTGGAGAGGGGACATGTGCGCGACTCTAGGCACGAGGCGATCTTTGACGAGTTGCATGTGGGCAGAACCTTACCTTTGATGAGGTACCGGTGACCTACTGGATTGACGAATCCAGCAGGGAGAGTCCGGAAGAGCTACTCGTCAAAGTCCGGCAGGGTAACCATGTCTAGTACGGTGTGACTCGGTAGAGTGGGAAGATTCGGACGGAGTATTCGAGTTGAGTGGTTTGAGCTTCTCTCGTGTGTCAGTTGTCCTGTTGGATGATTTTTCTTGGATTTCCGGGGACGGAAATCGTTTAAGGAGGGTAGACTGTAATGCCCCATTTAATTGTGGTTTATTTGAGTATTATTATTATTATTATTATTATTATTATTATTATTATTATTGTTATTATTATTATTATTATTATTATTATTATTATTATTATTATTATCAATTATTGCTTGTAAATTTGAATGTCTAAATATTATATGTCTAATTGCCAATAAATTGCCAATTGTATATATTGATTAATAATATTAGTATTTTAAAAGCAATGTACGTATTTAATTTATATTGTCCGGAGTTTTGTTTATTTATCGTGCGATCGATTGGAGCTGTCGAAATTAGTAATCGGAGAACCCGAGCCGAGAAGCCAATTTATTTTCGTGTTAAACCATAAAATGTGTATTATGTGTATTAAATAAATATAAAATATATTTGTTGTTCGATTTATTTTATCGTGCGTCTGAACTGAAATCGGGCCGTCGAATTTCTTAACCCAGCCTTTCAATTTATTTTGCGAACCAACAGACATGGCGATGTCGTATTTTTCTTAGGTCATGTTAGTTAGAACAAAA